TTATATAAGTAGTATTTTTTTTTTTTTCTTTTACTAATTATCTTTTTTATAGTGCTATTTCCTGGTGTGCCATTTTGTAATTTGGTGTGGTCTATTCGATAAGTAGTTTTTTTTTGTTTGCTGCTGCTTCACTTTTTTTTGTTTCTTTTACTAACTGCCTTTTTTTTTTTAGTATTAAGTGTTGCATCTTTGGTTGTTATTCCTGGTGGTGTTGGTGTTCTTGGTATTGCTGCATTTTGGAATCATTGTCTTCTGGAGTTGGTAATATTGTTTGTTGGTGATGGCGTTTGTTGGTGGCTATTTGATAAGTAGTTTTTTTTTTGTTTGCTGCTGCTTCGCTTTTTCTTTGTTTCTTTTACTAACTACTTTTTTTTTTTAGTGTTGGTTGTCATTGCTGGCGGTATTGTCATTTGTTAGTGTTTTTGGTATTGCTGTATTCTAGAATCATTATTTGCTAGAATTGGTGTTTGTTGGTGATAGTATTTGTTGGTAACGGCATTTGTTGGTGACGGTGTTTGTTGGTGATGGCGTTTGTTGATAGCTATTTGATAAGTGGTTTTTTTTTTGTTTATTGCTTCTTTGCTTTTTCTTTGTTTTTTTACTAACTGCTTTTTTTTTTTTTTTTTGCATTACTCGAATATGTGCCATATTTATAGCATAGTACAAATTCTTTAAAGTTCATTTATATTATAGTTAGGGTTAGTGTTATGGGCTAGAGAAGAGCAGTTTGTATAGTAAAATTGCTCAACGAACCCTTTTTTTAGAGCACCAAAAGTGAATTCTTTGTTTGAATTTTCTTGATCGCGATATGTTGCTTCTGATCTTGAAATCAGATTTGCAGATTAGTAAATCTGCGCTACAAACCTGGCACATATTCAAAGGTACTAGATATTAAAGATGGGTTTTATGATGAGAAGATGAGTTTAATGTGATAATTAGTTTTATTGTTTTTGGGTTCAGTTTAATAAATATATCATGTATATATCATATAATAATTAAATAGTAATTCAGGGTTTTAATTTTGCCCAATTCCAAAAATATAGCCGAATACTGTAATCGCTAATAAATATATAAATAAATATATGTAACTGGTAATTTTTACTCTGGTGAAAATTAGAAATTCTTTTTTTTAAAATTTTTTTTTTTTTAATTATATATTTATTATTTTTATTAAAATTTTTTTTTTATCGTTATTT